CCATGGGCAAGATTTTGGTTTTACATGAACTTGAATGTCTCAAGTAGACAATGTGTAGTTTTTACCATTAAGCTCTGAAAATATCCAGCAAAATGTTGTTGAAAATGAATGAAATGATGCCCAGTTGTTGAAAAATATTGGCAGCTTTGTAATATATAAACACAGAAATCAGGTCTAAAAAACATTGGAGTGGGTCAGAGTCTCTGGGGGACGCCATATTAGATGCCATGTTTCCTTCTACGGCAGCCCATGAGGTCAAAATGCATTTATTGATTTGTAACAAACGGTTACAAAAGGTTTGTCATTCTTAAATGTTGTTGTTTTACACATTTACCTCTCCACTTGTTACCAGTGATGAAAGGGAGTCTGATGTGCTTGTGATTTTGCTAAAGTTTGCACTCCCCAGGGCTTTTTGACCTTAACGGGCATCCGTTGGTAAGGTCTTACCCCAATACTCCAATACATATACCTCAAATACAACTATGGGGCGACGGTGGCACAGGAGTTACGTGCTCGCTCTGTAATCGGAAGGTTGCAGGTTCGAGCTCATTTAGTCGCTGTCGTTGTGTCCTTGGGCAAGACACTTAACCCCCCCTTGCCTGCTGGTGGTGGTCGGAGGGACCGGTGGCGCCAGTGCTCGGCAGCCTCGCCTCTATCAGCGCGCCTCAGAGCAGCTGGGGCTACATCGTAGCTCATCCTCACCAGCGCGTGAATGTGTGTGTGAATGGGTGAATTACTGATTGTGTTGTAAAGCGCCTTGGGGGGTTCTGGGTCTCTAGAAGGCGCTATATCAAATACAGGCCATTAACCAATACAAAAATACTGCTTGCTTGAAACGATTTAGGTATCTACTGCCCCCTGTCGCCGGGGAAAATACACACAAGGCCTCAGGCATCAACCGTACTTACGCACAGATCTGTGCAAATATTGTGCGTAGGAACTAATTACGCATTGTGTGGTAATCATCATTCCGTACCTGTGCTAGCAAATGTTCCTAAACACAAGAACGCTTCAGACCATGCGTAGGAACAGCATCTAGTGGTCGAACAGGGGAACCACAACACTGATGGTCTCAGCCATCCACACATGTTCCTCGTCCACTAATTATTTTACCCAACAAATAAATATTTCCGTGGAAAAACAGCTGAGTCACATAACTGGTGCTGCAACACCCGACGGGAGTCTGACATTGTAGAATGGATTTCGTGTTTTTTGTAATCATTATGGTTGCTCTCCCCATTTTATGATGCTTTAAATCATTTTTAATCAATGAATAATATTTAAAATGTAATTTAATTATGTCAGATTTTTATTTGTGAAAGGCCTCGTGATTTTGCTTGGGAATCGTTAGGTAAAAGAACGTTTCTATATCATTATTAAGGGTTTGTCAGAGCGTGCTCTCTGGAGTAAACGCGTCTCGGTGAGCGCACTCACAGAAGGTCCATCTGGAGCTATGCTGGGATTTGGGACCGTTTGTGGACAACAGATTAAATCGCTTAAATCTGATTCCAGTCCATATTCTATTTTACAACTACGAGAACCCCCAGAACCTCTTCTGCTCCCCGATCACACGTGCGTTGTCAAGGTAACCAGACTGAATGACAGCTGCTCAGACATTTCCAAATAAGACTAACTCCATCCAGAACGACTCCTTAAAGGTAAAATGTAAATGACAACCAGTTATTCTACGATTCCTCACATTTATTTATTCCTGACAGGAACTTCTCCACCACGTTTACAACCTTTGCAACTTGTTTGATTCGTTTGCACATCTGCAGCCAGTGTCTCGATCTCGCTACAAAGTTTTCTTTCTTTTGTTCCGGGTAGAACGCAGGGAATTCCCTCACGTGCTGACGATGCAGCGTGACCAAATATGGCTAATTGAGGGCGTTCCTGTATGTAAATGATTGAGAACGGACATGAGCACCTGGGCACACATAGGTGGGATTTATCATCAGACGAGTGCGGATGAACGCGCGTACGTTAAATCGGGTTTTGACCGTTCGTACGAACATTGAAAATTTCGTTGATAGGTAGGAATTTAGAAATTTTTCTAGAAACGTTTGACACATGAGGCCCCAGGACTCCCCACCCTTCGTATAGAGCACATATCGGTCCTTATATTTCTTCTGAAACGTGCGCTAAAATAAACAATTAAAAAAATAACTACTGAACTACAAACACTCAAAAAATATAAGATAAACGTTACTACTGTACATGTTAAATGGAGCCCAATGAGGTTTGTTTGCTTTCACTAGAAAAAACACTTAAAGATCAAATTTACTCACTATTAACACATTTGTGGTCTCTAGTAGGAATGAATGCATTCTAACTCATCCTCTGGGGAAAACAAGCTCTGGTGCGCCTGTTTGAGGACGTAGGAGTCAGCTGGAGAGGAAAGTAGCTTCAGACAGCAGGTTTTTGGAGTCTTCCTTCTTGATATTTGGACATCTCTCCTCTGATAGGCTAAAGCCAGGCGGACACTGTGCGACTTTTTCACTTTTTTGAGCCGATTTTCCAGTCGTGCGAGAATCCACGACATCGGGGCGAGTTTTGCGCCGAGCGGTCGTGTAGTGTACAGGAGGTTACGAGAGGCGATTAACACCACGTGACCAGCTGCCGATCAGCAGTCGTGAGGTCGCACGGACTTCTGGTGTGTTTAAAATTTCGCTCGTCCCTCGTGAGGGTATCGCACTGTTGAAACGGCGCTGCGAGCAGCTGCGACCCAAAAAGTACCAGAACCGCTCACGGCGCATGCGCAATCCTGCATCAACGTCGCTCGCTATTTCCCTAATAACACACGCTGTTCGTTTTTGTTTCTACACTTTTTTTACTCGCAAAGATTGTCAAGAAAGTGTGTTTGTCGTGTTCATGTCAAATTAAACTGATCACAAAACACAGATTTACTTTCTTTATTTCGTTTTCCTCATCCAACCCCCATAAATCCCTGTGTGTCCTCCTGCAGCGCTCCCGAAGGACAACAGCAAAACAAGACAAAAAAGTCTGACGTGTTGTGTAAAAACTGCTATTTTTAGCAAATTTTTAGGGCCGACGTGTTGCTACCAGACGTACAGTGTGAGCAGTCAGGTCGCATCCGAGAACTGGGTCGTACAGTGTGAGCGCCTGACTCGTGAGATCTGCCCTGTGAGGGTCGTACAGTTTGAGCTGAAGCTGAACGCTGCGAGTGAAAAAGTCGCACAGTGTCCGCCCGGCTTAAGAGCAACATGACTAACGCTGACTGTTACGTGCCTTGCCCCTTTTCGGCCACAAGATGGCCTCAGTGGCTTCTGCCTCCTCCGTCTCCCAGTGCCCAGCTGTTTGCAATTACTGATAATCTCTTGACAGCTGTTAAAAGCTGCTCTCCTGCCCTCGGTCTGGGAGAAGGTACAGGGAAGTGTGGGCAGGAAGGTGTTCATACTTCTCTCTTCTCCTCGTGTGCTTGTGTGTGTGTGTGTGTGTGTGTGTGTGTTTAGCTTCGTGATACTTCGGTGATTTAGTGGTTTTTGGCTCTTGTTCATTAGGATTTCTGGTAACCTCGACTTTGGACGGGCCTTCGACTCCCCTTTTGGATTTCCCCCGAGCGTCTCTGCTTACCAGGACGTCTCTTGTTAAATTTAGGGTTTTGTGTATATATTGAATATTTCAGTTAGTTTCCTCCTCCCAGCCCTTTTGGCTTGGTGCTTTATGTTGGTCTTTTTCCCTTTTGTTTGTATAGGCTCTTTGTGTTTGTTAAATAAAATCCTTTGTTGGAGACACATTTACTTGGTTATTATTAATCCTACTCACTACATCTTTTACTCCCTCTTCCTCATCACTCCTAGCGAGCTGAGGGACGTAACACTGACTGTTTGCTCTGCAACGTTGAGGTTTTATCTCCACACATAACACAAACCTTGAGGAGTTCTGCTGTGTGGTGGAGTTGCTAATGCAAACGGTTAGCTTCTACTAGCTGAGATGTTCTCTGCTGTTTCCTGGACCCTAAAACAACAACAGTCTTCCCCGTCGTGAGTCCAGATGGGTGAATCCATGAATGTTAAGTGACAGTGTGACATAGATCTGTCAGGTTTTTCTAATCCTAGAGTTTCACCGTCTGTTTTCTATCAGAAGCTAATGCAGGAGATAGGTGTAGGAGACTACAGTATGCATGAAAAACTCAGAGTGACATAAGCAAAAAAATAAAAATAAAAAAAAAAGGTTTCCCAGTGAACCAGCTGTTTAATCCTTAATATTTAGACTCTAATCTGGGGAACAGAATGAATCAATGGTATGAAGCTATGGTATGACGCCAACTCTGAACCGTGTTTAACATGCAGGACATAGAAAAATGAAGTCCTCCTGGGATTCTTTTGGCTTCTCTCAAACTTGTTCGATAACAAAACATTTATCTGAAAAGTTTCTACCTACATCAAGAGCAAAATATTTCTCAGGGCTTCTAATAACTTTTCCCAACTTTCATGAAAATCCGTTGATGAAAATTTGCCATATCATCAAAGTCACTTGCAGGCATAAACATGATTTTCTTGGCAGAGTTGATGAGTATTAAAGCAGAAACACAGCTAGAGCCTTATCAGCGCCACACAAACAGTCGTCTTCAAAGTTAAACTCACAGATTTATTAACATCAACATGAGGTGAATCAACGCGGCGCGCGGACATAAGCTTCGACAACTCATCTCAGGACCGTTGGATTTGACTTTTCTGATTTGTGTCACTTTTATTTTTTGTTGCCAAATATAGATATTTGTCATTCTGATAAATCATAATCCTGTTTTGATGAAGCGAGCCAACTTCAGAATAAAAAAAAAAAACAATAAATGAAAGCTGACTTGTGCATAACTAAGACTGGGATTAATAAGAATATATGGCCAAGCCTTTTTTCTGATGGCAGCCCCTCTCGCCTCCTCTGATGGAACTGGTCTATTATTGCTGCAGAATGATGATAAGAGGGGATTGATCGCCTTCTCTGTGCCGTGGATGTCAGATTGATTATGTGACTCAAACCTGAGACGATGGTATAGGCAACTGGTCTCGGCGAGCCAAGATCCTGGTCGTGGGCTGTTAACTTCCGCACTTCGTAGCCCTGCAGAGACACAAACACACAACACATAATGGTCAAAGCCATTTTTCTCTGCATAAATAACGCAGCAAGCTGCTGCTGATAAAAACCAGCATCCAATTTTACTGCTGTAGCAACAGACATGTCTACCTATTAAAATCACAGTTCAGAGAATTTACCTTTAACAGATTTCTTCTGATTCAGATTTTTTTCTGCTTAAAATGTTTCAGATCAGGAAATAAAACTTCAACATCAGACAAAAACAAACCGTGTAATCAGTAAACAGCTTTCTCATGATGTAATATATCCAGCTCTTCAAATCTTGTGTGGCGGCTGTACCCCCCCCCCCCCCCCCCCCCGTTTAATCATGAATTGATTGTGATTAGCCACACAGCTGAGTTCAGCTCCAGCCACACCCAGACCTGACCCTTCAACAGAACCTGTCTGACACCATGAAAAGGGCAAAAAGATCTCAAAAGGCAACAAATCATGCATCATTCCACAGAAATTCAAGGACAAAAGAAACAAAAGAACCGAGAACACTAATAGACCTTTTCCAAAGCCACTTCTCAGCGACTTGGGTTGGTGCGGTTTGGTTTGGTCGCCTTTTTCAACAGCATAATTCGGTATTTTCCACCTACTTTCCCTTTACTTTTCAGTCCCTGCTTCTTTGTGGTTCCAAGTGCTCTGACCTGGGTCGACATCGTGACTGTTGGGTGCTGTTTGGCCAGGGCGTGGAATCACTGGTTGCTCCAGAGCTTTCTGGCTGCTGCCTGGCCTCATGCAGCCACTTCCTGATTCAGAGCCTGACAAAAAGCTATAAACTGAGCAGAATGTTTCACACCATTATTTTTGTGACAAGTTATGTTTCTGTGTACAGATCACCTCACGATATTTTTGCCTAAAGACCCCCCCCACCCCCACCCCCTCCGTTGTGTTTGAGTTTTTCCAATAATGACGCTTTATATCGTTAAGAGACTAACTTTGATGTGCACTAGCTTACACCGATTACACGCCTTTTTCGGCCCGCGGGATGTCCCAGAACCGATTCCTTCTCATAATTCACATTACTCAACTTTTATTTGTTATTATCGTTACCCCCCTGATATGGCACAGAATAAGGAAGTGATGGGGTCACTAAGGGCATCAATGGAGCAGCTCTGAGGCCAGAATTTCTTTTGATCATACAAAACACAAAGACACGTCTCACATCCAAACATCTGATTTATCAGATCCCGAAGACATTTGGGTGAATATTATGTAGACTCATTAGACAAGAGCAGAACTTTTTCTTCCATCTGGAGGGAAACGAACACTAAACCATCACCATAGCTACAGTCAGACATGGTGGTGGTAGTGTGATGGTCTGGGGCTGCTCTGCTGCTTCAGGACCTGGACCCCCTGCTGTGACTTATGGAGCCATGCATTCTAGCAGAGCATCCTGAAAGATAACATCTGACTTTTGACCTTAAACAGACCGTTAAGGCTGGAAAAATCTCCAATCTGGCTGATTTCAAACAGTTCTGTAAAGACTGGTAGAAAACGCCTCCACAGCGGTGTGAGAGACTCATTACCAGTCGTCACAAACATGGAGTAGCTTCTGTTTTAACCAGCTATTGCATTTTCCATATCAGGCTGGGGTGATCTGGGTAGCTTTATGCCCCTTAATAAATAAAATCATAATTTCAAAAACTACATTTTGTTTTAAATACAATTATTGTGGTCTGATATTAAAAATACTGTTTGGTGATCTAAAAACCTAGGTGTGACACACCAGTAAAAACAGAATAAACGTGATATTTTGCAGCACTGGACGCATTTCTGGCTACGAATCAAAGTTGTACTTTTTACATAAGAAAATCCAAACCCATTAACACTACACCATGGTGCTGCTGAAACCGTTTTTCTTTGTTTTTGTGTGACATCAGAATGTTATTGCTGTTTATTTCTACTTTCATTGTTCAAAAACTCTCCTGCTGTGCCAATAAGACTGGTACTTGGGAAAAAAATCACAGCTTTATAAGAAAAGAGAGAAAGAAAGCTATTTGAAACGTCTTTGATCTGCTGCACTCTCAGCCTCCATGCTTCAATCAGACACGGTGGCGATGCTTAAAACCCCCTGTGCTGCTGTGAAAGCCCATTCCTCTCTCTCCCCCCCTTACGCTCTCCCCTGTCAGCCCTCTCACAGACACCCAAAGGGGGCTGCCTCCCATTGATCCCGCAAATTGTGTCTAAGACAAGTTTGTGCTCCATTTCTGCCAAAGCATCTCCTGTCACCCAACAATTACAGCAGAATCAATTACAAGCATTTTAAAGAGACTGATTCTAACCATGCACCACCCGAGGAGGAGACACACACACACACACCCGTACATGAACACACACACACCCATCAGAAAAATGTAGGGAAAAATACAGAATATGAAGATGTACAAGAAAAAAAAGAAGTGATGCTGAAGTAATGTGAGCAATATTCTCCAGCTGTCCATACGAGTGGAATATGTTCAATCATCCATCAAAAGACACAATCCCTCCCTCTTACACACATGCACACGCACACACACGCACACACCCTTCATCCCTCCATCCTTGCTATACAGTGCATTACCCCCACCCTCTCTCCTTCGGTCTCCTTCTCATTGATTTGACAGGCAAACTGTGTGTTTGTCCTGGAAGGGGCTTTAGTGTCACTTCAAGCATAGATTGACAGCAACAACAGTTAAAAACCTCAGACTTTCTCCTTTCTAAAAATAAAAAATATATATTTCTAGTTGCTTGACAAACTTTTCCCTAGATGACAGGTTGATCGGCTCAAGAGTACAAAGAAGAGTGAAAAAAATAAACAGACTGTAAGAAAGTGGATTATTAACCCCCCCCCCCCAAATGAGTTTGTGTGAATAAACGAATGTTTGTGGGACGAGATGTGACAGAAAATCATGTCTGATGTGTAAAAGTCGTGAGCTGACCACTAACGATGCCACCTCGTCTCTCGTCACCCCTAAACCGTGTAAGCTGTAAATGACACGCTAGTGGGTCATCACTTGTCCGGCAGTGCTGCTGGCCGTTTTAAATGGAGCTAAAGTGGGCCAGGACGTTCTAGTTATGGCCGACTCAAACTTGGAGCAATACAGTGGTCCAATAGTACGGAAGCAGTTTGCATTCACTTGAAAGAAAATTAAAAGCTCTGTTTTTCAGAACTCATAAGATAACAAATAAATAAACCTCTGCCAACTGATGCTAGAGTACGCAGCCACATCCGGACGAGGCTTCCCGCATGAACGGGTGCAAATTCCTTGGGTCTCTGCTAATTTGATAAACTAGTAATAATCCAATCAACATAGTTTTTGACTGTGTTTCCATTCCGAAACAAAGTAAAAGTAACTTTTTTCCATTGCTGAACGCAGCTTGATGGGACTCAGCTAAAAACCGTTCGGGGTGTTTTTCCATTACAACTGAGAAACGGCTCTAGTGGGCTGTCATAGTGCAAAGTGATCCGTTAGTCATACAAAACCACAACTATGGTGATGATGTTGCCCATTGTGCTCACTTGTTGACTTTTTGTCAAACTCTAAACCTGGAAAAGGCTGCGAGAAGGGAAGCAGCAGGTGGAAAACTTTGGAACAACCAGACACTCCACCCCCCAGCCAATCATAGCTCAGGAGGTAGAGCAGGTTGTCCAGTAATCGGAAGGTTGTACTTAACCCGCCTTACCTGCTGGCGGTGGTCGGAGGGTCCGGTGGCGCCGGTGTTCGGCAGGACTCGCCTCCATAACTGCGCCCCAGGGCAGCTGTGGCTACACCGTAGCTCATCCCCACCAGCGTGTGAATGTGTGTGTGAACGGATGGATGACTCATTGTGCTGTGAAGCATCTCAGGGGGGTTGTAGAACCCTAAGAAGGCGCTTTACAAATACAGGCTATTTACCAATTGAAGGAATGTGAGTCGTGGTGAGGTGGTTTTAATGGAAAACCCCCTTTAGCCAGTTCATAATGCCTACAGGCACAGTACATCATCCTGTAAAAACCCTGGCAAAAAATTCAGTTTTGAATTGATATCATCCCATTAAAGCTACTAGAAAAGTCTGCAAAATAAGCTAGCTTAAAAGATTGTTTCATGCCTCATAATAACATTCTAACATAGTAGCTATAAATATATCGTAGACAGAAAAAAAAAATAACCGTAGGGTCATATGTCTCACAGAACCGTCACTCTTTCACACTTCGCTGGGTCCTCCACTCATTATGCACTTGTGCAGGGATTCCCAAAGTGTGGTGCGCGCACCCCCGGGGGTGCGCGAGCTGCCGCTAGGGGGTGCGCGAGGTGAAAAGTGTAATGGCTGCGGAGCTCAGAGAAGTCTGTCATATGTCACCATTAGCGTAGCCAGAAACTCGTTTGTGGGTGGGCCTAAGAAAATGTAAGTGGGCACAATAAATATAATTGAAAACAAGTATATTTTTGCGCGCACGTGTGTGTCCTCCACATGTGCCCTAGCTTCATAATAATAATGCGCCGAGCTTCAGCACTCTGGCCTGCGCACGCCGATATGTTCCGTATTTGATCATTTTTAACGATGTCGGAGGAATCTGAAGGTGGCGAGTCATTCTGGCAGATTGTAATTAACACCTGTCTCATGCAGGTGTTCTGACATTGTAAACCGCACACACAGAACATTGTGGATGTAACTAAATAACAAGAAATGATTCCCATTCAGGCTATTAACAGCGCGCTGAAGATCTGAAGTTCAGAGTGCGTCTGTCAGAGGTCAGACGTGTTCCAGCGGAACCACGGCTCACGGGTGCACATGTGAGCACATCTGGGCTGGGCAGAAGTCATTTTACAACATTGGTTTAAATAGCGCCAATAACGAGGCGCGGTGACTGGAGCGGCTCATGGAGCTGTGCCGCGCGCGCACACACACACACACGCAGATTCAATAAGAGCGCACGCTGCGCAAACTCCGGCGCCCCAGAAATGAGTGCTGCCTCCTCTGTGATAAAAACGTTTAAGAGGTTTTATAACATTTTTCATTCCAGGTCAAATTAAGATATTAGCTTCTATTTTGGGATGACGTATTAAAGTCGGGTCCGCTCCAGCCAGTGACTCCGAACATGACTACAACCCCTGTTGCAGCATTTGTTATTCCAGTCCGCGTGGCAGCGGATCGCAGATTCAGCCACACCATAAAACAGCAAGTCGGTCTGAGGCAAAAGTGAACCTCATGGCTTTTCCATCTTTTCCCCTTTAGACATTTGATTACGCACAAGTAGGTGATCAGCTCAGGTTTACGCAGAGCAGAAGGAAGGAGAGCGCTCTGGCCGCACAGGTTAAACGTTCCTACTTTAAGAAAACCGTTAAATCGCATTGTTGATGTTCTACCTGGGCACTCTAAATATTTATTTAAAATTAAATCAAAGGAAATCATAATGGTATCGAATGTTTATTAATTACTATTTAAAAAATGAAAGTGATGGGGAATTTTTTTAACCCTGTCTGTTTAGCTTGACGTCTGATATATATATATATATATATATATATATATATATATATAGCCATGCCCTGATGTGGGGGCTGGGGGGTGCGTCGACATGGTCGGGACATAGAAGGGGGTGCGCGGCTAAATAAGTTTGGGAAGCACTGCACTAGTGTATTTAGCAACAGAACACCACTGGTGTGAGAGGTTCTCCACTCAATGACATCAGAGAATATCAACTTTAGGACAAACTAACATCCCAAAAAGAAAACCACCATTGGAAGTCACAAATAACAAAAGACGTTTGGAGCTAGATTAGACTGGTTAGTGGTATCTCATTTCTTCTGTCAATGTTGTTGGCTTAGGGATGATAGCCGACAGGAAGGGTAAGACTTCTGTGACCGTGTTTGTGTTTAAAAGCTAGCTTGTTTTGCACATTTTCGAGTGCAACTTTAGTTCAGAAAAACAGATGACTTTTCTATTTTAAGTTAATGCAACACATTTCTGTGCAGTAGTGGGATTCCTCTCTTTTTATTGGTAGAGTTCACCACAGCCTGCCTTCTGGAGCAGCCACACCCATTCAGGCAACACTAATAAAAAAATAACTGTTTGCACCCGAGCGTTAGCGTGTCTAAAAGTTATGCTATTTAGTTGGTTTTCAGACCCCTTTTCAAACCAACTCTTCTGAGGAGACTTGCAACAAATCTTAGTGTTTTTGGAGACTTTAGGAAGCGGACGTGAAAGCGTGCATCATTCTTACTTTTCCCAATGGGCAGTGTGAGGCCTCATTGGCCCCGTTGCCATTCCAAAACGCTCACAGGTAGCCCAGTCCTTGAGCAGTTACCCCCCACCCAGAAAAAAAATTACAGTTGCACAGTTCATTTTTGCCCATTAGAGATTTGACCTCAGGTACAACACTAAAATTTTAAGACCCATGTAGGATTAATATACTTATTGGGGGCCTGGGTGTATTAGAATTAGGACTTTTTTGTTTTATTTGTTAAAATCAAAAAATCCATCTACTGATTTGAAGAGTATGAAATGATTATAAAACTGCTGATTGTAATTAGGAACAACTTCCTGGATTTTTAATTCCACAGATTTTTAATTCAGCAGTTCATCAAGCTGTGCAGAAGCCTGTTAATCACCTGCAGATTAAAATCAGGTGTGTTGAAGGAGAGAAACCCCTAAAACGTGCTGGATAGCGGCTCTCTAGAGCCCCCTTCAGACAGGCCATGAAAAATGGAAATGTTCAGGACTCTGTCCGTAAGACCTTTGTGTCCGAATGCAAACACCCGGATAACGTTTTCCATAATTTAACCGGACGACGCCCCTAGTAACAGGTCCGGACTTGTTACGGACAAGGTGGCTGCTTCAGACTGGTGAGGTAGAGTTCCGGACAGGGAGGAGGGGGATGAGGAGGGGACCGGGGGACGCTGTGCGCACCTAGATAGCTCGCTCCTGTAGCATGCGGCTCGCCTCCTACTGTACCGTCTAGACGCGCGACGGAGCGCTTCACACCGCTTCACACCGCTTCCGTGATTCCTTTAACCATTGAGCTTCATCATCCAGGTCTCTTATGTGTCTTCGTGTGCGCAGAATTATGCTCAACATAAGTCTGATCCTCCCCCCAGACATCTGGAACTTTTCCCTGCTGTGTGAAGGCAGTCAAAAGGACAAGTTCCGGTACAAAAGTGGTGAGTCTGGAAACACAGTTCTGGTTAAAAACCGGACTGAATTGTCCACACATATTCCAGAATGTCTATCTGAAAAGGGTTCAAGACCGGAGATTTCTACCCCTGATTTAAAGCCTGTTGGAGAAGAAAAACCCTTAAAAGGTTCAAACCGGGTAATGAAATACTAAAAAGAGAAGATGAGTGGGGGGGAGGGTTCTGTGGGGGGACTGGTTTTAATCCTGTTAAACAGTCAAAAGGAGTCAGCAACATATTCCAGACATTAGATGAGCAGGTGCCATGACCTTCTCTTATATAGTCCCTGTAACAGGATTACACACTGCCCCCTTCTGTTAGAGGCAGGAGCTCTTTAAGGCAGTATCATGGCGGATTAACATCCAGCTGCTGAAAAATCTGGAATCCACTCAAAAATGTCTCCATCCCTAGTAACCATCCCATCAGTTTATTTCTACATCGCTTTTTCTATACCAGCTTTTTAAAACGTTCCTAGACCTTCGCACTTACCCCAGCTCTTCTTCCTCCCACTCCTGTTGTGACCTTCCTGGTGACAGTTGATGAATCAGAGAGTCAGGGAGACTCCGTCATGCCCCGTTAATATGCATGCAAATGTAGCACTTGACATTTCTACTACAGCGCGATTGAGCTGGGGACGACGGATAAGCAAGTGGCTGTGTGAGCCGAGCTGGATTGAGCGAGCGACTGAAGGAGAGACAGAATGAAATGGAGTGATAGAAAGAGTACGAAATAGAAATAGGGCCAGACAGTATTTTGCCCCAGTGTATAATTCCTCCTCAGCAAGTGGAAACATCGATAGCTGGACCATTAGCCACCTGAGTACTGAGTTAAGGGGCTGAGACGAAGGAGTGAGAATAAAAGTGAACATGGAAACAGACACTGCATTCGATGGTCATTACAACTACCCACAATAACGACTGAGGTGAGGTCATTGTGAGGCCTCACTGCTTAGCTATTCATGCAGTTCACAGGTTTCCCAAGTGAGCTTTGCTGGAAGCCTAACTTCCTCCAGACGAGTGTAAATTTCCACCTGTAATTACAGTTTGCCACATCTGCAGCACTGAATGTAGGTACCAAGGCTTCGAGTTCTTTGTGTAAACCTGAAAAGGAAATATCTAAATCTGGTTTAACCAGTCTTCTCTCATTACACCAAAGCCTAGCATCACTTGGAGGAGTGAACATCCCCCATCATCTTACATGACACCAAATTTTAACTCAATATTTGTAAATCTCTTTTGGTTTTTAAGTCATGTAGTTGTGGTATCAGCTGATATTTATTCACTGATTCAACACAATTCAACCAGTGGTTTATAAAACCCACAACCAATGGACAGAAAAACACAAAAACAGACCAAGTCAACAAAACCTCCTCTCCATGAATTTAGATAATAATCATAGAAAAGTGTATGCTGGTGAACTCAGTCATTCAAGTCATGGTAATCCAAAGAGTTCAAATGAAGGCAGCTGGACTTCTTTGGTTTCTTGAAGATGTTTTGTTTCTCATCTGAGGAGCTTTGTCAGTTCTGACTGGAATATGGGAGAGTCAAGCTTAAAAGCTGTAGCTGTCTGTTGTTATTTAACGAGCCGAAACTACTCTGGGTACCCCATCTCTCCATCCCGGGGTACCCAGAGCAGTTTCAGCTCATTAAATAACAATAGACAGCTTTTAAGCTTGACTCTCCCATATTCCAGTCAGAACTGACAAAGCTCCTCGGATGAGAAGCGAAACATCTTCAAGAAACCAAATAAGTCCAGTTGCCTTCATTTGAACCCTTTGGAATAGAAAAGTGTAGCCAAGAAATCTAGACAGTAAAAAAAAAAAAAAAAAAACTAAGATGGCGTTGGCTCGTTTGAAAAGGCCTTGGCATCAACTTTGGAATATTTAGTTAAGAGCAGATGGAGATACTTAAGTTTATTCAGAAAAAGGATGGATTTGCGTTTTCTTTGACGGAGTATGGTGGACTGCTACGATGACTGACATCTGCACCGGTGAGTTCATCAAGTTGTTTGCTGTCCAACAGCATGCGGAGAGAGTTTGAAAGACAACGGTCGAGCTCTCTCTATGGGTCATGGTCATGGCCAGACTATATTTTATATAGGATGGCTTGCCAAACAAAGAGAAGTGTGTATACTGATGGAGCTGAAGGAAACAGGACAACTTTACACAGTTTTGTTAAAATATGTTATCAGGTAAGAAGTCACCCACCAGAGGAGTGTTCTCCAGTATGTTGGTGCTGTAGGGCAAATTAGTGAAAATAGGGTCCATGTCCTGGACATCAAGGATGGCGATTGCCAAGTTGGCGAGCTGGGATAGAGGTCTTACTTTATCTTGATCCTAGAAAAAGCAAAAACACAAACTTTATTCAGAAGCCCGACTGATACGTTTATAGCATAAACAATATTCTGTGTACCGACCGTGGCATTGACAGTCAACTGGTAGGCTGTGGTTGTCTCATAGTCTAGACCTCTGGTGACAGTGACGATGCCTCGCGCTCCGTCGATAGAAAAGAAAGGAGTAGATGGCTGGAAGGAGAAGAGAACGCTGCCCCCGGTTCCCTGGTCTGGATCGGTGGCATTCACCATGAATATGGAAGTACCCACTCGGGTATCCTGAAAAATAAGTTCAACAGAATTCTGTAGTGAGAATGCGCAAGAATGAGTCAAGCGTATAACTAAATCCCATAAGAGTAAAACCTTTCAGTGGTTTAAAGGAGGAATCTTTAGAGCTGCGGAAAAGAATTTCATTAACATTTTAAAATCAAAAAGTCCTAATTAATCCTGTCAATGTGCAGACTCAATCTCTAGAGTTCCTCTACCAAATTAGCACCACAAATAACATTTGTGTTCAATACGAATGAATCAAAAACAATGGCAAAGATGACTCAACAGCCATTGATTGAGTTCTAGCCAAAGGACTGACTCAGCATCTTGCAAAAGGCTTCAGATGAGAAAGGGAGGAGGAAACACTGTTATTCTAATTATGTAGCATACTGGATAACAGAGGTCAGGATTAAACACCAGAGTACAGTCGACCCTGGTTCTCATAAGCACTCATCCTAAGTGGTGAAGTAGTAGCACATTTGTGGATAATAAGACCGCCTGTGACCATGGAAGGAATTTTTTATATTAGAGTTATTAAAACTAATTTGACATTGGCACCCAAGAAGTTCAAGTTTGTTTGGCGAGATGCCAAATGGAAAATAAAAAGATTCAATGGTACGAAGAGGTAGCTTTAGAAAAACTGACCAAAGATGGAAAGAAATTAAATGCATTACAAACCTTTATTTTTTCCTGTTATTTGGATTCTAAGGAGCTCACATTTCTTGTATTTTAAGTGTTTAATCCATTTTCCAGCTATTCTGTGGAAATGTCTGTTCTTAATGTATGCCAACAGAGACAGATGAGTATTTGAAAAACTGTGCACCTCTGAGGACCGGTGAGTTGTATTATACTTTAAAGGATCAAACGTGTGCCAAGTTTTCAGTTAATAGCTCTTTAAAATCTTCATTGTTGGTAAAAACCATAACAAACTTTAGTATTTTTCTGAAATAAACACTTGTATAAATGATAAAAGTCAATGTGTGGCACAACCCAATACAACACTGCACATGTTTACAGCAGATAAAAATAGTTCTGGCTATCTGATATATGTACAACTACACACAAAATAAACATAAACATGTACATACATTGCACAGAATTATGGGCTTGACACACGGGAGGCAACAAACGACCGCAATCAGCGAAATTCGTCGCTGTCACTTTTATTACCCGACATACGGGAGGCGATCCGCGGCAGCGTCCAGCGGCAAAGCTGTCGACGCGTTCTGTTCCATGGCGAAATCGAATCTTCCGTTGTTTTGATTGGCTGTGTCAGGTTGGAGGGAATTAAGGTTATTTAAGCGGTTCAGAGTTTAAAAAGCGGTAGATATGATGTTTCACATGGTGCTGCTAGAGTTATGGGAAATCTTACTTCTGATTTTATTATATATATATAAAAAAACAGAGAAAGGGTTCATCCCATATTACAAACCAGAGAAAGAAACGGAGAATACCATCATTTAAAGAGCAAGTAACGTCTAAATTAAATTTTTTTTGCTGATAAACTGTATAAATGAGTGTCTAATAGTGTTTTAAATGTGTGTATTCATTATTTTAGCATTTTGGTACATTTTCTTTAAAAATTAAAAATTCTGCCTAAATACCACAGCATAGCGCCACCTTCAGCTTAAAACATAGAGGTTGAGTCATTTTGAATAAATTTTAGCCAATGGCTAAAGAGAAAGATACTACGTAAACCAGTAGAGTACTACGTAGCAGCTCTGTGTCAAAGTTATAAAAGCATCGAGCGTCTCGGCCACGCCTTGTGGCGAGATGGGAGTTGGATTTGCAAGCGAGTGTAGGACGGTTAGCGGTAGTTCAGCATTAGCATATAGCATTAGCATATCCTAATCTTTACCATAGATTTTAGTGTTATAAATACTTATTTAGTGTTAACTTGGCTGTTGGATATTGTAGTTTAGTTAGTGTTTAGCTGTTAGTGTTATTAGGAAAGGAGTTTGGGTTTAGTGTTCCATATCGTGTTAGTATGGTGAGAAGGTGTAGTGTAGTGGGTTGCGGGGGCTGTGTGGGGTTGCACTCCTTTCCGCTGGACTTAGAAATTAGGCGCCAGTGATTGCGCGCTATCGGTGTCTGGAAAACAGTCAGCTCCCGCCTGGTGCTGTAGTTTGCAACCAGCATTTTACCCGTGATTCCTTCGCCAACATGATGGAGTTTGATCTGGGTTATTCTGCACGTCTCCGTTTGAAGAGGGAGGCTGTGCCCACCGTGGCTCTTCCACGATTTAAATGCAGCTCACCGACTCTGCTCCCCCACCATGGCGGGCTCCAGTCTGAGGTGAGTAAGCTAAATAAAAATTTTAACATCTTCTAAAGACAATTCCCTGCCTAAATGCAAAGTTAGAGACGTGGTTCATTTCATTTAGCTAATATCAGCCTGCACTGCCTTCGGGCTGATTTGTCAAGTTCATAAAATGTGGAACGGGATGTGAGGTTAGAATCAGCGGCGAATCGGAACATATCTCGAAGCCCTGGCCGACGAAATGGTCCACATGACTATTACTGTCAGGCTCGGAGAAAATTCGGGTTGTTTTTGTGTCAGTCGGTAATTCTGCTAACAGTGGCTCTAACTAAAGCAGCACTAGCTGACAGACAGCATTACAGCGTGAAATCCAGCTTTGCACCAAAGCGTGACCCGGTTCTGTAAGGAATTCTGTTCAGGAGGTCACATTTCAGGCTCTCCACATCATATGTGACTGACATTTACGTTATAATAAATGTTATAAAGCGCCTATATAGGACAGTTTCTTTTGTATATTATCTGACTTTATAAACTCCAACAACAATGTGCTTCTATTATTTTTTTCAGGCTAAATCTACCCAAGACACTGGCTGTCAGTGACTGATTTAGTTGTCTGCAAGAATGCACTTGTCCAGGCTGATGTGAAGCCTTACCGGCGTAGCAAAGGTGAATTATCTTTAATAATCGTCTATGTAAACTTTTTATCACCTTCTAGTTTTTATTTGTTTTACAGATTATTGTTACACGTGATTTTATGCTCTTTTAAACATTTATAAATGTGCTGCTTCTTTGTTTTTTACATAGTCACCCAGTTTAGAGCTCACAGCCTCAGTGTGTCTTGTGACACGGGGATCATGATGGAAATTCATCTTCCAGAAAGGCCCAGAGCAGCGTCCACACCCCTGAAAAGACCAAGATGTGAGGTGTCTGCTGTTGATTCCAGCTTCCACCTCAGTGACAGTGCAAGCTCAGTGAACTGTTCAAGGTAAAAAATTAAAACATTTCAGAATTTTCAAGATATTAACAATTAAATAAACGTATGTGATTACATGATGACATCATGAAGGAGGCTACTGATTCTGGCCCTGTGACACTTGGTGATGACGTGTGAGCTGATTCAACTGGTAAATAACTTTTACATTAAATATTTTGTTTTTGCTATCAAACGTAAATTAACTAATAACCTGCATTATTGCAGGACACTCAGCAAAATATGGACTCTACACCATGAGGCAGGCACACATTAATACTCTATAAGAGCACATAAGGTGAGCAACACCACATATTGTACACTGTCCTGGATTTGTTTTCTTTCTGCATCTCATTAGCCTGGCTGATCACCTGATAACTCCTGTCATCTGGTTATGACAGCATGAGGATGTCCTCACACACCTGTAACCTATCAGATCATCTGGCAGAATAGAGAGAGAAGAGACAACACCACATCTCCTGTTCCTGGAAAGCCTTCAGCCATCCTTCGATGACTGAGAACCTCCATCAGCTCTGTCTCCTGTCTGCCTACAATTATAATAAATATTGTGTTTGACAAGTTTTTTGTGCTGCCAAATATCTCATTTTGATTCCAGTTTTTATATGTTAATGGATATTTATAAATTACATTGATTATCACATTGTTGCATGTTTAACTAGCTCTATTGTGATGAATTAAACTAGCACCTCACTGTCAAAATCTCATTTTAATTTCAAGCATGTTTAAGTATTTATGGACATGAACAAAAACAGGAAATATATAAATTGAGATTTATTTAATTAATATAACAAATAAGGGGGAAAGAGTCATTGAAAGGCACATTCTTCCGGAAGCTCCTGATCCTGACCACACCACCAGAGGAGACCAGCTGCAGACACCAGAGGATCACCCATGACCAAGAGAGCAGCTGGTATCAGTAAATAAATAATGAAATCAGGGCAGTTTTAGTGGGCTGTTTGGGATTGTGTAACATAAATGAACACAATACAGAATACTTTTCTCATGGGGTGTTTTCATAACTTTCTACGCAGCAGACTAACTTGAGCCCAGGGCTCCTGGACAACTACTATTCAGCAAGTTTCAGTGCTTTTCCTGCTTTAACAGGTTAGATTAGCTGTTAAGCAGCTCAGCTATTTGTTGCTGATTAAAACCAGGTGTGTTGAAGCAGATAAATCTCTAAAACATGCTGAATACTAGCTCTCTAGGGCCGGACCGACCCGAGGGCCTAGGGCTTCAGTGCAGGGCTCTAGCCTGAATCACCCCTAGGTGAGATGGTCATCTCTGTGATGGACAGGAGGCCTAATCAGCCTGTCCCCTTCTCTCATCCGGTCACTGCTACAGATAAACGCCCCCTCCCGTTGACCCTTACTGGATGAAGCAGTGCACAAAAATAAATGAATGAATGAATATTTAATAAATGCTAACAAAAGGAGTTGAATGCTGATTGCTCAATGCCACAAAAATAAACACAGGAACAAACATCTAAGAGGCACATACTTGATGTATTTATTATGCTCGTCAAGTTGCCGGCTCATTAGAAATTTGGTATCCTTCATCCTCCAGTACAACACCGTAGCACATAAACAAATTAAAGGGCATGAAAAATGAATCAAACTCTGGGGGAAATATTTAAATATGACAGCTTTTTCTTGTTTGCGTGCACAATTCCATATATGTTTCCACGTCTGGGTGTGGTGTGGGTGTCTAGGGTATCGGCGTTGCTTTGATGTCGAGGAGGCGCATAGGTCGTTGCTAAGTG